CCCACACCGGGCAGAGATGTGGAACACTGACTGCAGAGATGCCACATGGCCATGGCAGTCGTGGGCTGTGGAGGACACGTCTGCCCTTCGGGCAAGCCCTGCTGCAGCTGCCCCCATGGGCGGGAGTGTTCCTCCGACTCTGGCTGCCTGGTGCACCGGATCCTTGATTTGGGCGCCTAGACAGCTGAACAAGGGTGACCTGAGTCCACGTGAGCCATTTGCTGGCCACACAGCGAGGGGTCAGGCTGTGACAGCCCTTCGCTGCCGACCAGCATCCCCTTTGCTTCACAGGTGACCAGGTGTATGTCGTGTGGCTGTGAGTGCCTGGAACCCCTGGGCCCAGCACGTGTCACTGAGTATTTGAAGAGCTGTCAGCACGAGACCATGGAGGGTTCTGAGAGTGTCCCCAGGGCAAGCAAGGTGATGGTGCCACAGAGTCACGCCTTGCGGCTGCCATGCCAGCAGACCCGACTCTGCTTCCACGAGGCCCTTCCTGAGGCCGCCCCAGGCCCTGGCACCTTACCTCTGGGCCAGAGCCCCCCAAGGCACAAGCTTGTCCCGGGGGCTGAGGCACAGCACCACGAGCCATTCTGGACCCCCCTCGCTGACCCGAAGGGCCGTGCTGCGGAGTGGGCTCAACTGCTGCCCAGCCTCCATGGACAAGCTGCTCTGTGTGGGCAGGAGGGTGCACACCTGGGCCCAGGTGTGCTCACCCCGGACAACAGCTCCACCAGCTCCTCTGAGCCCCAGGCCCCAGTCGCCCACTCCAGGAAGAAAATGATGAAGACGACGCAAAGCTTCGAGACTTCACAGCTGGACGGCAGCCCCAGGGACTCCCGCTGGCCAGGCCACACTGGGGTCTTCATCAAAGGCCTGGAGGTGACCAGCACTGTGGCCTCAGAGAAGCCCCCATCGAGGCCACATGCCGAGAGCCCCATGGACACTCGGAACCAGAGCCTGTCTTCTCCCTCCAGGACCCACCCCTCTGAGGAGGACGGGAGAAGGCCAGCCGGCAGGTGAGATGGACGCCCCTGCAGACTTTGGGCCTAGCGGTCAGTGGGGACCTAGGAACACGTTAAATATGTTTCTGCAGAGTGGGAAATACACACCGTCCCACCAGGCCAGGCAGACTCGTGCGTGATCTTAAGCAAGATGTCAGCTGCCTCCCTGCGTTCACACCTTCTCATGGCGCATGGTGACTGGAGCACCCGCCCTGCTGGTTAAACAACCAGGTCTGGTGACGCAGAGCCTGTTTATAGAAAATGATGAGCAAGTCAGCACACAGCAGGAAAGCACTCCCTTAAAATTGCTTTTAGAAAGGGCCTCTAAGCTTTGAGGTAAGAGGTTTGTACCTGTTCGTTGCCCAGGTGAAGATGTCCATTTTAACCTGTTAATCTTTGAGACATTTGTAAAAAGATACTCTTTGCTAATTGTTTATAATAGAGTGTCCAGAACCCCGCCCATCTCGATGGCAGGTGTGACACTGGCCTGGTGTCACCCTAACTTCAGCACCGTTTGCCATTTTTACAGTGAGCAGTGTGGCCTGGGGGTGGGGGCCCTCCAGGTTTTCTGCTGATTTGTTACCCCGTGTTTCCTCCTCTGAGGTGGTTACAAAATACTCTCCTGAAACACACGAGCAGTTCCAGTGCCCCTCGTCAAGGTGGGACCT